CAACTTTGACAGTGAAAACATCATTATTGGTATGTATGCGTGGCCGTTGGACAGATAATCTCGTGCATCATGCGTGCGTGGGTGTGTGTGTGTGTGTTGGCCTGAAAAGGTAAATTTTCAACACTGCAGCAGGTTACTTCAATATTACAGATTCAGTTTATAAACAAAATTAGTTAAACTAACGGCAAAAATGCAAGTAGTTCATCTTTTAAGAGAACTAGAATTTGCCTTGTGGATCGGATCGGGCTATGATTATTATGAAAAAACTATATGATGATTGTTATTATATATTATCATGCCGCTCTACTCGTACTTAATTACTTCCACTTTTATTTTCAGATTTTTTAGTTGATGACATTTGTTGGCAGAATGACAAAAAATTTAAAAAATAAAAGTAAAATATTGATGATTTATTCGATAAATTGATAAATATTGATTGATTGACTGACATGGATAATGATATTTGACATTGATTCCAAATATATTAATGTGTGAACTGCCTTTTATGATTATTTAATTAAATTTCATTTAATGAGTTATGACTCGTGACTTGTGAGGGTAAAGCAGTTGTCAGGGATTGAACACTGGAATGATTGGATTTGGCTGATTGAGAAGAGAGGAGAAGGGGTGGGTCTTTCACATGCGTGAGTTCTGTTTTGAAAACATAACTCTCAACCCCTCTATTTTGTTCTAATTTTATTATAAATTTGTATTTTTTTTAATTTTTTAAATTTTTATTTTTCAGTGTTTAGATTATCCAATAATATTATAAGAATTTAAAATAAAAAATAAAAATATAAAAACTTTAAACATAAAAAAGTACAGAAATTTATAATAAAATTTAAATAATGTGTAAAAACTCAACGTTATGTTTTTTTTATTTTTTATTCTTGCGTTAATAAAGTATGTTCAATAATTTAATGTCCATGTAAATGTATGAGCGGGATTTTTATTTGTGTTTTCGGTATCCGATGTTTGTTTCAAAATAGTAATGTAAGTTCATATATACTTCAAATCCTTTGAAGGACAGTAAGTGTATAATGTGTACTAAACTCCAGAGCAGGACCATCAATAATAAAGACGCTTATGTTTTTTTCTGTATACATGGTCCCTTCATCCACATGGTTGAGTCTCTAAGTTACCTATAAACAACAAGAATGTTTTCCTCTTCCCTGCATAAATGTTAACCGCACAGATTTATATTTTAGATTCCAATTAAAGTTCTTGAATAGATAACTTAAAAAAAATCATAAGACTTATTGAATAGAGTTTAACTCTCTCAAAGATATTTTTTTACATTTATATATACTTGAACTCAAAATCTTGCACATGAATGGCCATAGTTATTTTCAATAAGATTCGCTGAAAATGTATAAATATTTAATTTCAATACAATATCTCTCTAATAATGTTCTACAGAAAAAAAATAATCGGAGAAGACAGTGAAATATAATTTGAGATAGAGAGTAGAATCAATAAGAAAACTTTTGCTCATCTTTCACGTAATATGAGTAGCCAAATATATTTGGAGTATTTAGTTAAATTTGTCAAAAGAGTTAAATTAACTTATATTGGAGTTTTAAGTTTATATTTCAAAATATGCAATCACATTCAATAAATATCCTAAAAATATTATTGAGATATCTGTGAGGTCACCATTAAAAATAATAATCCCACACAGCCATGTTTAAATTAGTCTAGGCAAAAAGTCTTAGAGGCGTTAGCAAAAGTGAAGCATTAATTTAATTTTATAAAATCTGTTAGTATTTTCTCTAGTTCAAATATGCATCACCCTAATTTTATTATGATAAAAATGGATCCCATTTACATATCACTGATATAGATATATATGTATAAATGCTGATATATTCCATAACCGAAAAAGTTTTTGCAAATAATTGCACTTTTTAGCTTTTGGTGGCAACAAAGTGGGGAGAAGTTGTTGGATTCGGAGCTGGCACGATCTTATCCGGACCCATCACACGGGTTTGTGTCCAATGTTCTGGGCCCGTCCATTTAGATATATAGACAAACAATATCTTGACTTTATGTCTTGTATATTTAAAAATAAATTAGACATCTCTTAATTTTTCATTAAAACTATATTGTTTTGAATAAGCATGATTTTTTATGAAGTAAAATTTTATTTTTACTTTAGTTTCCATTTTTTAAAATAATCTTACTTCATTTTTAGCTATAAAACATATATTGAATTCGATAGCTTGTATTTTAATTAAAACAATAACATTTGACTAAATTATAGAATAAAAAAGAGAATGAATTGCATAAATCAAGCTAGAAAGTGGGAACATAATTTGTGACTTTGGGTGATGTTGAGAAAGCTTAAACCACAATCAAATTTTAGTCATAATTTAAAATACTCAGGCATATAGAATTATAAATGGGCGAAACTTATCTAGTGTTTTATTATAATTAACTATGCAAACCTCTCATGTATTGTAAAACTTATTAAGTTAATGAGTATTATGGGCTCTAAATTATTAGAGAAGTAATATTTTAAATCCTGAACTTTTAAAATGAGCAAAAATTTCTCTCAACTTATAAATTTCAACAAAATATTCTTATTGTTTATTAGTAAAACGTTAACTGTTATGTAAATTAAAAATTACCAAATTGGCATGCCATGTGTGATCACTTTACCTCAGACAAACCACCCTTATATTGTAATTCTACTATTTTGCTATTGAAGTTGAACCCAAAAATGTTGATCACATTGCAAACTTTGCCCTCTACATCCCCTGCATTTTCATCATGCATTTAGGTTTTCAATTTTTTTTTTGTTGATTATCATTTTCTCGTTATTCCACTGTTATAGAAATGGGTTGCTATTGTTTTTTTTTTTCTACAAATTTATATTTCCAGATTGTTTTTTTAATATGTATTTCTGGGTTGCTACTAGTTTATGAATCTTGTTACTCCCCTTCAATTTTTTTGCAACTAAATTCATGTTTTTGTGAAAATTTTTAGGCATCATGGTTGTTTGTTTTTCTGGATTTGCAATAATTCTCTAATCACTGTTTGTCCACGCATGCTTGAAGCTTCATGGTTTTTGATCTAGGTTTCTTGCATCATGTTTTGCCTACAAGTTTTGCTTGCAAGTCATGAAGAAGGAGCAAGAGATTTGATTTCACATCCTTCACAAATGGTATGCCAGCCCAATAACTTTTAATTTATATAACAGTCAACATTATACTGACGATAAACAATGAGGGAGTCTTTTGCTTATAATTTAGAATTTGAGGAGAGTCTTTGCTTATTTTAATAGTTTAAAGTTTAAAATGTTACTTGTATATAATAGTTTAGGGCCTATGATGCTTATTAACCCTAACTTATTTATAAATGTATTATATGTATATTTTGTAAAATATCATTCTTAAACTACTAATTGCAATATAGCAACATGTGTTGGTCTTATTATTAGAACAAGTTATGGTTGTTTAAGCATGATGTCTCGCCTGTTCAAGTATCTATAAATATAGAAAATACCTGAAAAAATGACCTCCAGTTGGCCCACCCGACAATGCTCAGATATAATCTAATCACATAGTTGATATATTGTCGTGGATGAGAAATTTTGATTATATCGTAGCTTTTACATTGAAAGGGTTTCCCTCTTATCTGACAACCCTAGAAGAAAATTTTAATGGCCTCGGTGCCTTACAACACCGACAAAACGGAATTGGCTGGAAACAAGCAATTACCACTGTGTCTGTGTGTGCACACATGCACATTCATTTGTGCATGAGGCGCTTTCCCATACACATCATAAGCTTCCTCTTTATATTACGCTATCTATTTAATTTGTATATTCTGGATATCTCATTTGAGTTTTTAATACAAAGACACAAATAACTACCTTACAAATATTTAGAGAAAACCTGTTAGCTTAACTTCTTAAATTTGAGCCAAACTGAACCCCATTTGATAAAATATCACATTTAAGAAAGTATTTCATCCAGTTCAAATGCATGTATGACGCTTTCAACATGCACATGCATATTAAGGAAAATCATCTTTCTTTCTAGATCTCCCAAAAAAATTGACTTATTTTTCTATTTTTGTTCTTATCCGCAACTAACACTTATAATTCCTCATGCATAATTACTCAACGCACATTGCCTAATACATAGGTAAAAATGAAAAGATAGTTTTACAAAACACAAATTAAAATAATGTACTACATTTTGAGCTAATAATAATAGCGCTAATAAAAGCGTTCTGCGTCATCGAGCCAGAGGAGCGTCAATTATTGATTGGACAAGAGGGAATAATGATATATAGTAGAAGTGTTTATAATAAGTAAGGTTATTTTAGTAAACAACATTATATCTTGTCAAAATTTAGATTATTTATTAGTTTTCTTAATTTGTTTGCACAGCTCAAAAGTGACCATAATTTTGAAACAAATGGAGTAATTTTTTCCATATTTATTCCTCATAGAATGGTTCACCTTCTAACATATATAAATTTAATTACCCTTTATCTCTTTTTTAATTAGTTTTTATATAGTGTTTAATTAGTTGATCGCTATGTCAGATTTAAAGTTTTTGATTATACATAAAAAAACACTATGTCCCTTAAATATTGGGCTAAAAAATGCCCAATCAATATATTATCCAACATGCATGAACTTTCAATCGCACATACAACACAGCTCCAAAATTCTGCATGGACATTATTAAGCTATCCTCTCCAGTGTGGGGGAAAAAATCAATCATGTTTGGGTATATTGAGTTGTTATAGAAAAATGGGTGCAAGAATGTATTTTTTTAATCAAAAAGTTGGTGACAAGAGCATAGAATGTAGCTTTTTTTTTTTAAAAAAAATGAAGACTTGCTTTTCTCTTGAGGGAAAAAATGCCATCCACAAGATTAAATTACGTTAATAATAAAAGATGCAAGTAGCAGTCCCAGACAAAAAGATAAAAACAAAATCTCATTTAAAACTCTAATAATGATAAACCAAGTCGTGGTGGGGATAGATGCAAGGCAGCCTCTCGTTTCACAGTTCTCTCGGAGCACTTCCAAAAATGGCAATATAATTATAAAATCGTTCAAAATCAAAACCCCATCAATTCTTGTTCCAGTTTAAATCATAATTCTCATGTTCTTAGTTCTTTTCACACATGCCAAGTAGCAGCATCCTTGTTCCGCTTTCTGGGATTTCATCATCATCTCATGTTGCACTAAGCGGCCAGCTCGCACGTGTCACTGTGCTTTACTAAAGGTCGAGCAGATTTTAGCTATATCAGAACACACATATACGAGTGTGTTTGATTATTAAGTTGGTGGAAAATCTGGGAATCGATATTGATGCTTGCGGTGTCACCTTTGAGACGAACCCAAGATGAAATTCAAAGCCAAGAAGAGACGAGCGGCTTCTCATCAATCGTCGGTGGCGGCGACGACTTTGGAGAATTTTCCGATGGGAATTTATTGGAGAGCATCAACTTCGACCATCTCTTTGTCGGCATCAACGTCGCCGGAGATGAGTTGCCGGATTTGGAGATGGGCCCGGAGATCCTCTCCGAGTTCTCCATGGAGTCGTCGGAGAATATGAACTCCTCCTCGCTGTCCGTGGAAAATAACGACAATAATAGAGCTGACGATCGTCACCTGATCAACAGTATTACAGCTGGGAAGGAAGAAGACGACGAAGATTGCAATAACAAAGTTTGTTCAGCTTCGGCTTCAAATTCCGGGACAAGTCCAGCGGAAGAAGAGACAGTGATCAACAAAACAGATGAATCTCCGACGACGACGACGAAGTTGAAGCCATCGCCGAAGGAAGGTGAGCAAAAGGGAAGAAAATCATCAGCCGAATCCAAAAATTCCCAAGGGAAGAGAAAAGTGAAGGTAATTGACTAAAATTAGTGGTGATTTTTCGTTATTGGTCGTGTGTATAATTCTTGATTACCACACGTTATACAAATCTGAAATAGTTCTCTCCTAATTAAGAAAGAACACTAATTAGGTTTGAGAGATGTATGAAGTCCATGTGCAGCAAAGTTACTCCATAAGCATCAGTCTCTATCTCAATTATGGATCTTCGCACTTGAGTGACGAGGGTGTCAGCTCACGGGTGTACCATAAGTCATTAATTAAGTTGAAAAGTAAGAAGGGGAAAATTTAGATAGATACAGAGAGAGAGAGAGAGAGAGAGAGAGAGCTTGGGTGCAATATTAATGAAACTAAATCTTTAACGTTGTCTGGTGGTGTACATACGTTGCAGGTGGATTGGACGCCAGAATTACACAGAAGATTCGTACAAGCAGTGGAGCAGCTCGGAGTGGACAAGGCAGTCCCTTCCAAAATCTTAGAGATTATGGGAATTGCATGTCTAACTCGCCACAACATCGCCAGCCACCTCCAAGTATTTACCTACACGTAATTGTTTGAAATTAAGACAAATATATCGTATGCAATGTTATAGTTAAATCTTATCCTGATACAGTATGGGTAATAATGTACAGAAATATCGATCGCATAGGAAGCATTTGCTAGCGCGTGAAGCAGAAGCGGCGAGGTGGAGTAAGAGGAAAGAGATGTATGGAGGAGGAGTAGGAGGGCGGAGAGAGGCAAGGTCATGGGCGCCGTCGCCGCCGCCGACGTTGGGTTTTCCTCAAATGGTTCCTCCAACGACGGCGTCGACGATGAACCATTTTAGACCATTACATGTATGGGGCCATCCCACCGTGGACCAGTACTTCACCTTCATCCCTCGCTGGCCGAAACAGCATCATCTTCCACATCCAATGTCGACGCCGCCGCCCCCGGCCTGGCTATACCCAGCCGCTTCGCCACCTCCAGACCCTTCATTCTGGCACCCTCTCCATCAGCAGGTCACAGCTTGATTTAGTTCGTGTCTAGTTTAATTTGATTATAACTGACGTAATCTTTTTAAAGAAATATTTGGAGTGCAAAAAGGAATCTGAGATGTCAGCTACCTTATCTATTCTCTAATTTAATATCCAAAATTTCAACCCTTCATTTACAAGAATTAGATGAAATTATTTTTATATCGTTGACCCAATAAAGGGCTGAGCAGATTCAGGCATTAAATGAAACACGCGACACTCCAAATTCGGAAAAATATATATATATATATATATATATTTCATATTAGAAAGATAAAGTCTCAAATATAATCAATGATAACATGGCGTGTGTATGTGTAAAGGATTTAGATAGATATATAACATATTAACTACTTCTTTGATTAAAAAATATAAAATATTTTTAATTAGATTTTATCTTTCAATAAAAGTAATTAACTATTTTTAAACTAATTTATTTTTTTATATTTATTCTTGTTAAATATCCTTGTAATAAATATAAAATCATTCATCAATAGGGATACTTTTAAAAAACAATAATGATTGTACCTTGAAAAATAAAAAATATCTTACATTTTTTAATATCTAACTCCTTAAAAAATGTCTTATATTTATTAACGGGGAGGGAGTATATACACTACTAAATCCTGTTTTTTTGGGGTGTAATAAAGTAAAAAAAAAAGCATATGCCATTTTAATGCAGGCTGATCCGAAGGCATTCGCCCCAGGAATAGGAACATATTGTTTTCCAGCACCAACAAATCTATGTGTGACGGTAAATTAATTTTTCCACCGATTCCATACAGTTTTGGAGCCACTCAATTGTTGTCTTCTTGTTGAAAAAGTTGGATTGTTCTACTGTTGTACACAACATTACCGCGTAGAATGCTGTCGTATTTACTCAGAAAAAACTAGCCAGTGCATATGTACTTTTCTTCACAGTAGTCGATACTCATGGTTCATGCATACAGGGATGTGGATATCCACCTGTCCCTGGCATCCCACCACATGGCATGTTCACGGCAGATCCCGACCTCAGATCTCCAACCGGGCAGACCGGCCCATGGCCCGTCTTCGACTTCCACCCGGTAACTTCTCTCCCCTGATCTCCATCTTCTGTCATTTTCTTTCCCTAATCAAGGCCATCACATACTGAACTTAGTATAGATGCATGCACCGCACTAGAAAAAAGCTGGAAGGTTATTGAGCTGGTTAATTAATAATTGATGATTTGAGTAATGTTTGTGACAGTCGAAGGAAAGCATAGATGCAGCTCTTGGAGATGTTTTATCAAAACCATGGCTGCCACTTCCTCTGGGCCTTAAGGCGCCGGCGCTTGATAGTGTGTTGAGTGAATTGCAGAGGCAAGGAATTCCCAATATTCCTCCCTCTTGTGCTTGACCACCAAAACCCTAATTCGACGACTTCTCATTTCTTTACATATAGCTTTGCTTTTCATCACTGATTATATATATATATATATATATATAATTACGAACCATGCACGACCGCTTCATTTTTTGTCGATGCCTTTTTTCCCCTTGATAAGTGGGAAAAAAGTGTATGTATGTTTGTTTTGAATAGTGCTTTTTTTTTTTACTAGCTAGCCACTTCATGTATGAGACTATTATAAGGTGATCGACAATATAACTCGAGAAACAAAACTGTAGAAAATATTTTCCCTAAGTTTGCTTTCATGACTTCTAGAGTACTATGCAGTCATAAATGCTATTGTTATTTTTTCTAATTATCTAACCACTTAACATTCAAAAGCCATATTGAATTTTGATTGATAGGTCAAAATCATGACATTTTGATCTACATATAAGATTTAGATATGATGAGTAACTTAAATTCACTCACTCAATAAGTGTTAAATTAAGTAACTGTCAAAATTTTGTTATATAAATGATAAAAAAGTATTAAGTTTTAAAATTTTTATAGAAGACAGCGTAGATAAGTAGTGTTTAATGTGATAATTGTAATTAAAAGACTAATTGAATGAGTGAACTTGGGTCACTATTCATCGAATCTAAATCTCCGTATGTATAATGTTATGATTTGAACTTCCATCCATTAAATTAATTACCCCCATGATGATCCATTTAGTTTTGCTCACAACCTTTCAGAGTTCCCGTGATTCTATGGTTTCAGAGTCTAGAAAGCACTTATAGCGAGCCATCAGCCATCTATACGGCTTACGCATGAAATGAAGTTGGGACTAAAATACGACCTACCACTTAACTTGCAAGTCAATGAACAATTAAACACACACACTCAAAAGGCTGTTTGTCATTAATTAATTGTTATTATAGCTTTGATTTTCTTTTTCCAGTTGAAAATTTGTTAATTAGTTAACCTGACCGTTGTCACGAACTTTAATTTCAATTTTTCTATATGTGCTTTTAACTATCTCCAATTTCATTACTCACGCACTGTGTTCATTCCCATATGAACCAAAAGAAACTGCAGTGGAAAATTAGTGAATGTGGGTCAATTGGACAGGCAAGCACCAAATGTGACCGACACACGAGGTCTTACTTTTGACATCTTTAGAAAATCAAGACAAAAATCTATCACGTTCAGCCAGTTGCATCATCAACAAACAAGTGAAGATAAACATGAAATATGAAATATGAAATTATATAGATTTAACTCAACTCCGTTTTCCAGTGATGAAGAATAAAGCTATATATTTTGAAAGGCACGACACTCGGTGCATGTTCCTAGCTAGTGAAACCTTTGGTTGGATATAACTTTTGACAAGTACTTGTTGGTGTCCACATATATATATTACATGTCGAGTGGATGGTTAGTATAATAATTTAGTTTTGACGAGATGTATATTGAATTTGTCTAGCTAGTAACATGATCATGAATTCATGATCATCCTATTTAGGCCCTCCTCATCGTGATCATCTATATCGATGAGATTGATATATTATATTAACATACATGTACAGTAAAAGTTGATGGAGATTGATTTTCATGGGGGGATGGAGACGCGCGTATACTTGAGAAAGAAAAGGAGAGTGGAGCCACGCGCGGGTTGGGCAAGTGGGGAGGTGGAGACTTGAAATTAGCAAGGGAGGACGGTCCCCCACAATCAGCCAGTGATGAATTGAAATCTTGAAATGAAACCGCGAGAACTGCCACATGTGGGCCACATGATGTTGACACGTGTCGTGGATTTGCCGAGTCAGACAGCGGTCCTCGGTTGGGGCCCACGCGTGAGCTGAATGAACCCTAAAAGTCCAACGCCAAGGACATCCGATGATGTGGCACTCGTGAATCAAATGTCGCAACCTGCAAAGGCAACCCGAACCGGAGCCATTGCCCTTGTTGAGAGGGACGAGCCAGATGGTGTGGCTGGTGTGCCTCTCATCCACATGGTGAATGTTAAGCACTGACAATGATTTGGAAATAAAGGAGAGAGTAACATGGATCTGTATTTCATGACTATAGTAACTACAGTCATTGAGTGACTTTAATCACGTGATAAAATCACTGCTCTCTATTAAATCAATGGTTTTGAAAATCTTGTTGTAATTAAAATTAAAAACACTCAATTTAAATCTCTTTTTGTTTGCCGTGATCGCATGCCTGATTCCCTTCCTACTTGATGTCGAGGTCAGAGTCAAGAAAGAGCATTAACACTTGTGGTAATGTTCTCTAGAGTCAGCTTCCTTAAACAAAGAAATAAAAAAGGCACCAAAATTTTGATCATCATCTCCATCCTCTGATTCAATAGGAAAGATATATAGAAAGCAATGGCATATTTCAATTTAATAGATAAGATAGAGAATACTCAGATAAGAAGCAATCCAAAATAAAAATTTGATAATAAAAAAGATTAAAATAAATCAATTACCGAAAGGATCACCTTGGATTATGCCAAAGAAGAACAAAGAGCTACTTGGGAAAAAAACTCCATCCTGTCAACCGGTCGAAGATAAGTAAAACAGAGAGCTACTCCATTGAAGAATTAAAAGAGAGCACAGCAAGGTTAGCCAGAAAAAGAAAAACTCCAAATCTGATAGCCGATTGGAGAAGAACAAGAATATAGAACTATTTAAAAAAGTTTTGAATTTTAAGAGAGAGATAGTGGTGTAATATGGGATAAATTATAATCAGGTTAAATTTAGGATATTAAGATTATCCAATAATAATATTTAAATAAGGATATTGATCCATTAAATTAACTTTGATTATTTTTTATTATTATTTTAGATATTAATATTTTTAAGATTATATTTAGATTTAGGATTTGAGATTTAAATTTAAATTATTGTTATTTTATTATTTTAGAGCTCTATAAGTAGAGTTAAATTTTTTATTTATATTTAGCTTTTGAGTATTATTGAATAAGAGTTTTGGCCTTCTCCTTTTTTATTTTTCCCTCCTTCCTCCCTCTCTTCCCCTCTTCTCTTCATTGTTTCACATAAAATAGGGAAGAGATTTATTCCATAATGCTATTTTGGAAATTTGGATGGATTTGGATTGAGTATTTCCTAATTTTGACTACAATAAAATTGTCTAAACTATTGATTTAATAGAGATTCTAGATTTTGACACGTGGATAAAGTCACTCAATGACTTTAGTTGCTACAATCATGAGATCCAAATCTAGAGTAACATCATCTTTAGAAACTTCCACGCCATTGTAAACAATTTGTATGAGCTCAAATTAGCAATGGAAATCAATTAAAAGACGTTGGAATAGTAGTAATTATTTATTTATTAATATCTTCAAGGAATATGAAGTCATTTTTTAATACAAATGTTATGGGAAAAAAATCATACAAAAAGGATAGCTATTCTAAAATTTTAGTTTGCGACGCTGCGAGGAATTACTTTTTTTCATTAAACTCAATCCCGATAGGTTTATAATCAGTGTCTCTCTCAACATAATTGCATCTAATTCAGTTTCGTGAGTAAGCCAATTGTGATAATTGGGCCAATCCTTCTGCTGCTCTAAGGGGTCGGTCCCCTCCCCCCACCAAAAAATATTATTTCAAATCTTGGGCCTCATCGCAAGTGATAATTGGGCCAATTCGTCTCTCTAAGCATTTAATTTTTTCTTGATGCGTTTCCCTCCTAGTAGAAAAAAAGGCCCAACCACATCCAATATGGACGAATGAATCCACAACCTTTTCTTTTCTTTTCTTTCAAGGCAAACGTCAATTATGAATTTATGATTATGAATGCAAAGTAAAAAATGTTGACCCCAAACAGGAGAGCATGTGGAACATCATTTTTAGTGTCCAGCTTGAAAAGACCACTATATACGGTCTTTGTTCTTCAAGTGTTGTCCCGCTCATCACGCCGATGCTCCAAGCTAACGTGACTGAATGACTCTCGTTTCCTTTCCCTTTTCCTTTTCATTTTTATTTACCTTTATATAACTTCCAATCTTTTTTCTTTTTCGTCGCCCGAGTACAGTAGCACACTTCCAAGATTTCATGTGTTGGCGGCAAAGAATTGAAACTTGAGATGGTCGAACACTTAACAGTCAGGCATTAAAAGAAAAAACATATTAAGAATATCTTCTGTTCAAAGCAAAGACTAATCTCCTTTCAAACTCGAGATTGATACTACATGGGTTATTTTGCACAATCAAGCCTTTTTCCCTGTAAATTATTATTTATTTTCTTGTTCTGAGTATTATTTCATAATGGTGGCTCACCAAAGTGAGACCGAGACCCGAGAGCGGCCACAATGTGCTGCGTTAGTTTCGTAAATCAACGACAGGGGATCCGGAGAGCAAAAGAGGAAAATGGAACCTTTTGACCGTGACAAGTTAGAAAAAACATGTCTCACACTAGAGATTTTGTTTGACATAAAAAAAAAATATTGGGGAAATTTGAGGAATAGGGATTAAAATTGGTGTGCATGGAACAGAGAGGAATGGGGGTGTCCCCCAGGCTGGCATTAGAGAAACTTGCACATGCAGCTTCAACTACTAATTAAAGTGGTCCTACCCCACCACCACCCACTCTTCCTTTCTTCATTCCTCAATCCGCGCACCATTCCTCGTCCCCTCTCCTTTTCCCTTCATACCCACATCCTTTCACCTCCTTCAGTGCATCTAAATATAAGTGAACTTGGGTTGATGTCAGAAATCTTATTTTATATGTAAAACTTATTATCATTAACCGATATGTAACAAAATGAAAGGAAACGTGAACTTAAATATTAGGGTCTATTATTATTAACTAATATGTAATAAAATGAAAGGAAATATAAACTTAAATATTGTTTTATGACGTTTTTTTATTGACGTTTTTTATTAGGGTCCAGGGTTAAGATATGATGTTTTTTTATTGTTTTATGCCTTAGGCTCATTTGGAATAGATGTGATTATAGTCTTTAGACTATAAAACAATTAATCTTATGAGAATTAGAAATTTCCATGGTATTATTGTTGTTGTCATTAGTGTCTTCAACATAATTGTAAATGGGACCGTAAAATATTTACTTCTTTATTCATTATTCCTCTTAAATGGGACCAACAAAGTTCTATATAATGAGTTTTCCACATTCCATCCTTTGACACTGCACTGTCCAGCCACTTAGCTTGCCACTTCTCTCATTGAGTTCCCACCATGGCTTCCAATCTCTCTTCTTCTTCCTTCTTCCTCCTAACTCTTGTCATCCTCCTCCTTCTCTCCCCTCAAACTCAAGCCAGAGAAGGCAAGTTCCTCAGCTTCTTCTCCCACTTCACAACCATTCACAACAATCACGCCAAACCGCCTCGAGTCGTAGTTATCCCTCCCAAACTCAAATCTCATCCACCTTCACCCTCACCTGCACCTTCTTCTTCAGAATCAATTGCAGCGACACCAGAATCAATAGTAGCAGCACCAGCACCTGCACCAGAATCAGCAGAAGCATCAGCACCAGTTCCTGCACCTGCAGAATCAGAGTTTGTGGACAGAGGAGATGGCTATGGCCTCTATGGCACAACAAACTTCGAGAATAACGACAGCCATGAAAGCTTCAAGACAGGCTATGGCACCAAGTTATACAGCAACTACTACAACAACAACAACAACAATGAAGAAGTGTACAGAAACAACTACAACAACCAAGAGTATTACAATAATAATCACAGGAGCAAGAACTACTATGAAGATAGCTACAATAATGATAGGTACTCCAACAACAACAACTATTATTATTACAAGAATAATGGGTATGAGAGGAAAAGAGAAGGAATGAGTGACACTAGGTTTGTGGAAAATGGCAAGTACTTTTATGACGTGAAGGGTAAGAATCAGAATTATCATTATAATGTTGATGGGTATGAGCCTACAGGAAGAGGGAGCACCACTGAGAACAACAACTTTGGAGGGAGTTACTATGAGAACAACAGCTACAGAAAGTACCCTAATGAGTTTGACACCATGGAAGAGTACGAAAGGCAGCAGGAAAGCCAGGGGTATGTCCCTTGATCAGTGTTTCTTTTTTGTTCTTTCTTTTGGTGATGGTTCAGAGAGAGTGAGAGAGGCGTAGAATATGATGAGTATGCATACAAGATTGAAGGAAGAAGAATTAGTGGATTGTATGATGAATGTGTCTCATCTGTTATCTTCTAGTTTCCTTTTGCGTGTAGTGGTGCACAGTTTTATGTTTCTGCAGATAGAAACAGATGAAGAATATAATTTAGAATAACGATTATGTGGTTCTGGCTTCAATTCTGAAGAGTAGACACATGCATCTGGCCTTTCAATATGCTCAGTCAGAGTAAACTTTGACAGTTCATTCGCTTAATTTCCAATGAAAGAAATTTCAGCTACACAACTTGACAAGGTCAGAAAAATATCGCTAAGAATAAATAAGTTTCTCGTCTTAAATGAAGAGAACTTGAACTATAGACTACAACATTGTGTGCTGGTGAACATTATCATTCACCAATATTTGCTTATACGTCATAGCCAAGGTCAAATGCAAGGCTTTATCATCAAAATAGACGAAACTGTTATTCTCTTGTCTTAAATACTCTTCATTTTCTCAAAATTTCTAAAGCAAAAGCATATATAAATCATGATTACGCAGTCCTTTTGCTTAGGACCAGTAATCATATACATATGCTTGTAAGTCAATTTTTAATGAAGAGAAGTCATTTAAGACAGACACAATAAGTGCAATGGAATAACTCATTAAAGTAAATGTGTCCATTTTACTCTACATTTATTCATGTTTTGCTTTGAAGAGCCAAAAAATGTTGGGTCCAGAAAAGTGAACCTAATGAGTTCACTTTAGTCCTTGGTGCAACCGAAATTTCTATAGAAGAGATGGTATAACTTTAGCAAGAGAAATGATCATTAAACTTACCACAGAACCAGACAATTTATGTTGAAAAGAAGATGCGAGGTTACTTAATGTGTAACTTGATTTACAGTTTAGACATAATCTAGAATTATGCACAAAGTTATTGCTTGATAAGATGATGAGTTTGTCCATTAATCCTCGGATGCTGCAGGCATGCATGCATGCAATAATTATCTCTCTTGTGCCCTTTTTCTTTTTCACTTTTGCTTTTTTGTTCGGTACAGAGGAAACTCTGTGGGGGTAAGATCTAGTTCTTTCACTATACCCCCAATTTTCTTTATTTCTATATATATAGGCGGTGTAATTGTAATATATATTTTCAGTTAAATCAGATGCAATCTTTTTAACTTTCGTTTTGCCAGCATTACAGGCAAATATTGGATTGAAAAGCATTGACAAGTTGTGTCAACCATGTTTTATGAATCTCAAGACATGCCAGTACATACATGAGACATCTAGCTATGATTGTATCACTACTACAGAATATATCTTTAGGAGCAAGTATTTAGGAGCACTTTTTAAATAAGCGCTCCAAAATGTGAATGCGGAATTTACCGAAGCGCTTTTCTAAATAAGCGCTCTTGTATGTCAGGTTTCTCAATAAGATAACGCTCCTAATTAATATATATAAAATATTACAAAAAATTTAAAAATACCTTCAGGAGCGCTCGTACTTAAACGCTCCGGAAGATGAGCTTTTCCAGAGCGCTCGTTCAAGAGCGCTCCAAAAGAACACCTTTCGGAGCATTATCTTCCGGAGCGCTCCGGAAGAAGCTCCGAAAGAGTCAGTTTTCTTTTCTCCATTTAGTTTCTTTCAAACCTCTCTCTCTTTTATTGCCTCTCATTCCTTCTCTGTGTCCCACATCTCTCTCTGTTTTTGTGCCGCATCGCCGTCCGCCTCTGTGTCGCCGTTGTCGTCCTCCCTTGCGGCGCCATCCGCCCCTGCGTCGCTATCGCCGTCCATCTCCGCGCCACCACCGCCGCCACTGTCCGATCTCTGCTTTGCATCGCTGTTCGATCTCTGCATCGCCGTCGCCTCCATCGCTGTCTGGTCTCTGCATTGCCGTCGCTGCGCCTCCATCTATTCTGCTATTCCAGATCTGTATTGCTGTTGCAGATCACCATCCATCCATTTTGCTGTTTGCTGTTCCAGATTTGCATCTCTGTTTTAGATCTGTGCTGTTGCTGTACACTAGAGGAAGGGACCCCGTGAAGACCTCCGTTGCGGCTGTGCGTCGCTGCTGTACAGCGGAGGAATCAACGTCGCTGCTGCCGTGAAGACTACACTTTGAAGGTATTTTTTTTAATAATTAATTTATATATATTTGAGAATAAATTTTAAATATTTTTTAATAATAAATATTATAGATAATATATGAATTGAAGTTATTTATATTAAAATTATGGAGTATTTGTAGTTGATAATTTAGATTAAAGTTGAGGAAACTACTTGAATATTTTTATTTTATTTATGAAATATACTTTTATGGGATATTATTGTTATTAATTAAATTACAATTAATTGATAGAATTTAGATGCATTATGGTACTAAATTTTTATTTGGATGAATTGATTTTTTTAGTTTAGATGTATTGTGTTGTGAAATTCTATTATTTGATCATTTCGGAGATTGTTCTTTTAAGAAAGATGCTGTTGAATTTTTTTTTATAGAAATCTAAGTCTTTTGTTTATTGAATTTTGGTAATCATATTAGTGACATGGATCGTAAGTGAATGTCGGTTAATCGACTATCTAGAGAATATTGGGATGGTATAGATGAATTCATTGAATTTGCATTTTATCGTGATCAAGACCCCCGTGGAGTCATATGTTCTTGTTTGAAATGTTGCTATGGAAATAGAGTAAAGCCAATCGAATTGAAATATCATTTAATATGTAATGGGATTGATCCAACTTATACTTGTTGGACCATGCATGGGGAGACAAGGAATAATGCAAGTGATTGGAGGGATAATGCGAGCTACTCAATATTTGATCGTGGTAGTGGGACATATGATGTTGACCGTTTTGATGAAATGATTGATGTGATTGAAGAGGATCTTAGAGACTATCCTGAGATGTTTGAGAAATTGAAGAGTGATGCTGATAAACCATTATACCCCGATTGTAAAAAATTCACAAAACTATCAGTTATTTTAAAACTATACAACCTAAAAGCAGTGAATGGATGGAGCGATAAGAGTTTCACGAATTTGCTTGAACTCTTATATGAAATTTTACTTGAGTACAATGAGCTTCCACCTAATACTTATGAAGCTAAAAAAGTGCTCTGTTATATTGGAATGAGCTATGAGAAGATACATGCATGTCCAAATGATTGTGTCCTCTTTCAAAAAGAGTATTCAACCTTAGAAAAGTGTCCAAAATGTGATGCATCACGGTACAAAAGAAATGGATGTAGCCCAACGAAGGCATTGTGGCATTTTTCAATCATACCAAGATTTAGACGCTTATATAGCATTGTAGAATATGCTAAACACTTAACATGGCATGCTGATGAGAGAATTAAGGATAGCAAGCTACGGCATCCTGCAGATTCTCCTCAATGGAAAAAGTTTGATCTTATATACCTTGAGTTTGGGATTGAAGATAGAAACTTACGCCTTGCACTAGCCACTGACGGAATGAACCCACATGGCTTTGAAATTAAGTTAATATAATGTTAATTACTTATATATTGCTTTCATATCTTATGTAGTATTTTGTTGAAGCAAGATATTCGCATTTTACTATAGAGCAAATAGAAGATTTAGTTGAAGAATAGTCAGAATATATTATTGGCTGTTTGTGATAGGTAGTTGGATTTCAATGTTAAAAAAATAACAATAGTTTCATTTGTTAGGCTTGTTAGAAATTAAACTAGGTTAGTTAAAAAATTAAAATTGTTGTATCAGTTTTAAATTTTTTTCTTGTATATAAAATTTTTATGTTGATATTATTTTTAAATTAGTTTTTGATATTATGATTTGCCATTATTAAAGATATTTAAAAGGAGAAATTTGAAAAATTTAATTTTAAAAAAATAAATATAATATATGGGAGCGCTCTTTTAGTAAGTTGTCATCATACGAGAGTGCTCCCATAAAGAGCGTTCCTGTATGGGGGAATACAAGAGTGCTTTTTACAAGAGCGCTCCTGTATTCCCCTATAGAGAGCGCTCCGGTATGTATCATACAGGAGTGCTCTTACATAGAGCGCTCCTGTACATGACGTGTACTCTAGCGCTCTTACGGGAGCGCTTTTCTAAAAGCGCTCCTGTATAGCGTACATTCAGGAGCGCTTAAAAAAAGTGTTCCTGAACATTTCGGAGCGCTCGATACGGGAGCACTTCAAAAGCGCTCCCTAAGGTAAAAAAAAGCGCTCCTGTAAGCTTATTTTGTAGTAATGTATTATCTACAGGGAATGATAAACATGAAAGTCAAATATCTCTTTTATTTTTGACTGCAAGCCAGAAAAAAAAACAAAATCTTTTGTTTTTGTCGCTTTATCACGTCATGGTTCATTGAATTCACATTTTCAATTAACAGGTTTTGTTAGATTTGACTTCTCCCACTCCCTTCTTTGAATATATCTCTTTATACACAATCAATTACCATATCTCTTTATTTGATTATCCACCTAATTTAATGGCCATGCATTTATCATTACCACTTAAATGTCATAATGCTTTATTTGATTATCCGTCTAATTTAATGGCCATGCATTTATTATTACCACTTAAATGTCATAGTGCTTCTTTACCATGATAATGAAATGAATAATGTATTTAGTTTAATGTTGTGATTGACAATCTTGCACCATTAAATTAAATAAATTAATGAAATTGTATATGTCGGGAGTGTTGAAAGAATGTATTAAGAGGAATCAAATCCATCCCATCATCTAGTGATGACACTTTACCATGTTATTAGTTGATTCACGTCTTCAATTTTTAAAATTTATTTGAATTTCTCTCACGACAAAGTTAATCAACAAGACATGTGATGTGTGGAGGAATTGATTTAAGAATATCCAATTGTGGAATGCTTTATTAAAAATGGTAAAAAGAAAGGTAGTATTTATCAATGTGGACTGGGTCTAATGAAAATGGTCGGTTCCTTGCAACATGGTAAATCAAATTTTAAATTTTTACTAAAAAAATACTCATATTCAATGGTCTAATTATGTTTTAAATATAATTGTTTCTAATAATAAAATATCTATAAGCAATACAACAAAATTAAAAAAAGGGGCGGCATTCGAGTTTTCTCCTTTGGTTGGGCCTAAAATTTTCTCCCTCTTCACATTAGGCATCAATTGAAAATGACATGATTTGTCCGTATCCACCATGATCCAGTCCAT